ATAAAAAAAAAACTGTGCGAAATTCATTAAAAAATGTGGAACTCTTTCTCTCAGACGTTCTGTTGGAGTTTTTGAATGGTATTTTTGATGGAAAAAAATTGGCAGATTTTTATGTTCCTGTGTGAATTATTTTCTTGACATTTAAATACTTCTGGGAATTTCTATAGGAACAATCAACATTAAGACTTTTTTCTGTCTAATATCTGTTGAAAAATGCACAGCAAGTCACGTATTGAATTTTTAATAGAATTTCAATAAGATTTCGTAGAGAGAACTTTCGTTCCTTCAAAATTCGTAGAGAAATCTTGATAACTCAAGAACAAATTCACATTCTTGTAACAGTTAAAATTCGATAAAAATTCATCTAATGAAACAAAAGGATAGATTTAAATATTGTGAAACTTCTTGCGTAAATTTCTTCATTTTCTTTCTGAAAAAACGGAGGAAAAACAGTGGAAAAATTCCTGCCGAGGAATTTTTATATAAAAAAATGGAAAATGGAAAATCTACTTTGTTTCATGTAAAATTTTTCTACCGAAAAAAGGAAAAGGTAAACAATTTTCTCTTGAACCCCCGCAAACTAGCTAGAAGTTGCAATTGGCATTGAGACGACAGGAGAATAAGACCCGACAAAAAGTGGAAAATATTTTATTCTAAAAGAAAAGCTCCTTCAACTCATTCCTAGTCGTGCAGACGGCACAATTTCTATTGGCGATAAGCAATGAGTAAGTCAGGGGGAGGAGGGGCAGACAATACCTCCACACAGTTGATTGAATATCTGTTGTGTGCGTAACCGTGCGAGAAGAATTATGTTATGAGATAAAATTTTACCCTCGACGAGTCAGCATATAAAATTTAAAAGAATAAAGGAGAAATGAATAATTGACGTCGGCTGTAATAATTCACCCGATCCACTCGTCCTGATCCTTCCAAGTAATTTATTTCCACTCTTACATTCGATCATTTGTGCACATGTCTCTTTTATTTTCCCTAGACCTCGTTACACATTGCAGTGATTACTTCCACCGACTGAAGAAAAGTAATTCCAACAAAATGACAACGCCGGATGATTGGAAATACTCCAAAATAATTCAATTAAAATATCTCTGTACAAATTAGACATACAAAATTTGCATTATCACAAGACATTGTTTTACCTCTACGTGACGAATTCCAACTTATTATATCAACTGCACTAACGCTGCTTATTTCGCTTATTAACACGCATATGCGAATATACTATTTATTTATTATACTGTTTTACAAAGGCGCTCGATGGTTAGAAACTGTTTCGTTGTTAGTCGAATATCAGAGGTTTTTTTTTGTTCACTTAAATTACTGTTGAGAAGTTTCATTCTCCGTAAATTTGTTCACATTTTTTTTCAACACATTTTTATATTCTTTTTACATTACTGTTTCTCTTTTTATTTCAATGTGTACGAAAGAATTTTACGGGAAAATCTAGTGCATTTGTTAAGAAATGTTGTCAGAAATTTCATTTGAATTGAAAAAAAAACAGATTTTATTTTTATTCTGTTTAATAATTTTCTTTACAAAAATTATCGACTTTTGTTTTTTTCATTGTTTGTACAAAAGTTCAAGCTAAAGACATTTCATAGAAACAATTTCAATTTTATTCGAATAAATTGCACAGAAATATCAAAATTCATTAATTTAGTGTGTGAAATGTCTTGCATTATTTAAAAAAAAAAGAATTTTGAATGGAAATCCAAGCAATGCACTAGATTCTCCCATTAAATCTTTAGTCCATGAATTTGCATAAAATCCCCAGTAGAAAATAAAAATAAAGCGGTTAATGTAATTCAATATTCAAATATCCATCACTTGTTATCCATCCAAAGAATTCTAAAAAGCGTATGTCTTAAGTCTTGACAACAATTGTCATCGTTCGTACCTAATGGCAGATGTTAAAAACGTTATTATTCATCTCTGTATATCAAAAATTCGGAATTGCATGAAGCAACAGTTCTGACTATTAATTAATCGTGGCAAAAGCCAGAAATAATTTGTTACAATTTGTAAAAAAATAGTTCTGCGACGGTTTTTAAATATCAGTTGAATCCTTCAAAAGCCACGGTCTCGTCGTTATCATGTTTTCTTCTCAATAAATTTTACAACTCCTTAATGCCCATTATCTCCAGCACTTCGAATGTCTCCTGACTAGAAATTTTAGACTAATCTTGTATCAACGATCACTTTAATATATACATATACTGCTTTTCTAAATATTATTCACTTTTGAAAAAAAATATCCCCTCAATTTCTTTTCTGTATATTCAATAACAACAATAACGCCATCAATAACGATAATACTTATTCAAAAGTGGTACTATGATTCGTTGGGAAATCACAGTGGGTAATTTATTACAGACTTGCATCGTGGGGAACGTAGACTGCATTATGGGAAATTTATAAATTAAATTGTCTTGCCGTTCTCCACAGGAATTCACGCACGAAAAAAATTTAGTAGAAAAACCTAGCGCATTCGTTAGAAAATTCTATTGGACTTCTATTGGATTTCTAGTGAACAATAGAAAATATTCAATAGAAAAAGTCAATAAAATTCGATTTTTCTATACAACTTATTCTCTTTAGTTATTTTCTACAGAATTTCCTGGGCTCAAATTTTCTGAGTTTTTTTCATTCTATTTTTCTTTTCTTCTCACCAAGAAAATCAAACAAAAAATAATAGAAAGATCAATAGAAATCCAATGGAATTGTCTAGCGAATTCACTAGGGTTGATGTGCATTTTTTTCACAGAAAATGTCCGATAAAAATTATTTTATAGAAAACTGTAGAAATTCATATTTCTATGCAAATTTTTCTATTGAGACATTTTCTACAGGAATTCTTCAACATCAAGTTTCCAAGTTTTTTTCACGTAATTTTGTTCTCTTTCAATTGAAAGAATGAATTAATATGACTTAGGAAATTCGAGTCAAGGAATTTATATAATAATATTAATATTAATTATAATATTAATTAATACATTATCCAACAGAAAATGTCCAAACAACAAGTTGCATAGCAAAATCAAATTCTATTGATTTTTCCTGCAGCATATTTTCTATTCAACATTTCCATTGAGGAACGCAATGATAAAAATTAATAAAAAAATCAATAGAAAATCTACAGAGTTGTCCAGCGAATTCACCAGGTTTTTCTATTAAATTTTTTCGTACGAGAATTCACTCGTCTAAGAGCTTATCAATTTGTAATTTAAAAAAATGGAGAATCCAGACAAAAACTGTCAACAGTCTCTAAGAGATGTCAGAATGATTCTGTACAAATTTTTCACATGTGACATCTTCGCATCCTGCATTTTTATATCAAAATAGATTATCACACTAGGGACAAGTCCGTAAAATTAATCAATTACCAGAGTGACCTACGACAGTGATGAATTACATCTTCAACTGATTGAGAAAAAACGTTTATCGAGCGAATCACGTGAATATCGATTTGAAGCGATTGAGGTATGTTTCAATAGGACGGCGCGTGTGTCTTTCGTTATTACATGTACTTATGAAAAATTGAATAGAAAATTTAGAGCGTTCGCTAGAAAATTTCATTGCTTTTCCCTTAATTTTTTTTTTGCCGACTTCTTCATTTTTTTTTTTCAATTAAATTTCAATTAAAATTCTTGAAAATAATTTATTTTTTTGTCTTTTTTTGCGAAGTTTGTCAACTTTCTTCTATTAAATATTCAATGCTGCAGAGTTTACAATAAAAAATCGAACAAAAAAAATTGAACTCCAATATGAATCTTCTTTTATTAATTAATAATTTTTTTCTCGTTAAATAAATAACCAAATAAGAACTGAAATTCTTGAAAATAATTTTTTTTCCAAAGTTTGTTAACTCGTTTCTATTAAATATTTAACCCTGCAGAATTTACAACAAAAAATCGACAAAAAATTAATAAAATCCCAATAGAAATTCACCAAAATTTTAGTGAAATCATAGGCCAAATTCTCTATAATTTTTTTCATAAGTCTTCCCTTATTAATACATAAATTATTTTATCTCTTTAAACAAACGACTAAAAATTATTGCATCACAAAAGCGAGCAATTTAGGCATTATTACGACGAATCAATCACAAAAGCTTCATTGATCGATCGCAGTATCGTGCAATAGGCTCATCATTGGTCCCTGAACCCGAGAATTGTACTACGTTGATGCCCAGATAATCATCAATCCGAGCAACACAATGCACAGACGTGAATATCACGTCGAAAAGTCGTCGAAAAAGAGATTTTATTCAATAGTTTCGTGCAACTGTTGGACGAAAACAATTGCTCCTATTCGTTTCAACATAAAAGTTAAAATATTAATTTTTCATTAGTCGTAGCAATTGTTAGTAATCCAAATGTCGTTGAAGGTTCAGGGAGAATTTCGTCGTTATCCATTTGATTTTCGTTTTTTCTCTTGTTAATTCTTTGGTAAATTACTATTTGTTCTGCTGTTATCTGCAGCAATTGTTAGTTACCCAAATGTCCGAAAGGTTCAGGGAAAATTCCATCGTTACTCGTTTGATTTTCTTTGTTAATTCATCACTTGAATCATTATTAATTATAACATTTGTGGCTGGAAAATAATTGTTATGCATTCAGGCTTATTGTGCGACAATAGTGGCAAAGAGGTCTCGTGTTACATTTTGACATTATTTGTGTAGTCTTTTGTGCATCAACTCCTGTGGTTTATCACGTGTGAAGAAATTTAGTGGAAAAATCATTCTATTTTAATAAATAAATGAAAATTTATTCAATAATTCTCTTGGTTTTTTGGAGAAAATTCTGTTGAAGATTAAGGCAACTTTATCGTGTCATTTTTTGATAGATTTTGTTTTTTTTTATAAAAGTGATTAATTTTGCATTTTTAAAAATCAATTTTTCATCGTAAAATTGAAGGAAAAAATTTCTATTGGAAATTATAATATTTTTAATAGATATTGGAAAGGAAAAATCTATTCTATTTAAATAAATAAATAAAAATTTATTCAATAATTTTCTTCGTTTTTTTGAGAAAATTCTGTTGAAGATTGAGGCAACTTTATCGTGTCATTTGTTGACAGATTTTGTATAGAAAAAAGTTGATGGATTTTGATTTTTCTATAGAAATGATTGGACATAAATTTTGCATTGTTTTAAATCAATTTTTCATGATAAAATTCAAGGGAAAAGCTTGAACAAAAATTCAGGCCCAAGAATTTTCATAGAAAAATCGACATTTACAGACTTTTTCTATAAATCCTATTGGAGATTATGTTATTTTTTAATAGATGTTCAGTTAAAAAAAATAGATTTCGATTTTTCAATACCTTCTCGGACATAAATTTTTCAAGTTTTCCTCATAATAAAATCCGAGAAAAAAGGAAAATTCATGCGCATTCTTATAGAGAAAATCCGAACAGAATAATTTATAAAGAAAATCCACATCTACAGCCTTTTCTCAGTCAAAAAATATCAATTTCAAACACAAGAAAAACAACTTCTTCTCTTAAATTTTCGTCACACGTGATTCATCATTAATTTATCATCGAAAGCGTTTAGTTCAGCAAATTCTCATCAGTATAAAAAATCGCCAAGGCCCATTGTTCTCCTCGTTAATCGAGAATAAATATAACAACTCTGTGCATATTCATTTAATTAATTTGTGACTAAAATCTTCATAATTCCATTAGCGAATTGCGAGGGTAAACGATCGCAGTCATTTAATTGTTTTTTCAGCTGTAGAAAGGGAACCCGCCCTATCGAATTGACATAATCATAACAAATAAATAAATGGGCTTCTTCATTAAGTTTCAAGATCTCTTTTGCGCCCATTTGAAGTCATCGACTCGGGGTTTGTAACCTGTTGTCAATTCAATTATCGTTTCTAAAACGTACCAGAAGCGCAGTTTCTCAAGGGGCCAGTTTAGCCAGCCTGTCGTTATGCAGAAATACGTTTCGTGGGGGGCAACGTGGTGGACACGGTGGTGGCGTCTTGGGAGAATTATGCGGTGCTCCTGGAGCCATACCACCCAGCCTGGCAGGCCGAAGTATGTGTGAGACCATTTGTGAATCTGTAATTGATAAAACATTCCATTAATTACGGAGAATTATTTCTCAGATTCAATTGAGTGGAGACAATATTTTTCCATAAATCAGGGATTTTCAAAGGTATCTGCAAGTTCAATCGTCCAATTTTTCATTTATTTATTCAGTTGTGAATCTGTATTTGATAAAATATTCAATTAATTACGGAGAATTATTTTTTAGATTTAAGTGATTCAGTGCAGACACTATTTTTCCATAAATCAGGTATTTTTAAAGGTATCTACAATTTAATTCGTTCATTTTTTTTTTAATTTACGCATTTATGAATTTTAGTAAATTATAAATGCATATTTTAATTATTGTTTGACACCCTGACCTTTTCAGAATTCCAACTTGAATTCTAGTGGAAAAAACGCATGGAAGAATTTAATGGAGAAATCTGGCGGTTTCTTCAAGAAATTCTATTAATTTCTATAGGACTTAAGAATTCTATTAAACTTCTCGGACATCGATTTTCCAAATTTATTTTAGATGTATTTTCATTTGTTTCTCATAATAAAAATCAAGGAAATGAACTTGGGAAATTTAGGCATGAGAAATCCTATAGAAAACATCCCAACAGGAAGGGTTATAGAGAAAATCCAATAACTTTTTATTATAAAAAAATCTTCTGAATGAAGAAAATGCATAATTTAGAATAGAATTGGAAGAGCAAATGGATTTTTCAATAGAATTCGAATAGAACTCTAATAGAATTCTCATTGATTTCCAATAGGAATCCAATAGAATTTCTGTTAAATAATTCTTTCTGTTTTTTGCGATATATTTTTATTTACTTCTCGCAATAAAAACTAAGAAAAAGAACTTAGAAAATCCATACTCAAGAAATCCTATTAAAAAAATCCCAACCGACTGAGTTATATAGAAAAATCAATACTTTTCATTAAAAAAATTCTACACTGTAATTTTCAAAAGAATTCGAACAGAACTCTAATACAATTCTCATACAATTCCAATAGAATTTCTACTAAGCAATTCTTTCTGCTTTTTGCGATATATTTTATCTGCTTCTCACAATAAAAACTAAGAACAAGAACTTGGAAAATTCATCCTCAAAAAATCCTACAGAAAAATCACTACTTTTATTATCCACAAAATTCTACAGACTTTCTTGCATTATAAAAAATCTGTCCGAAAAAATTGCATAATTTTGGAAAGGAAAGGGTAGGGTAGAATGGACACTTTTGACTTTTTTAAAAATATTCATAACTCAGAAACAGATTTACCAATTGAGCTCAGTCTAAGCTCATCACAAAGAGGAATCATTGTTTTTCAATTGAAGAATAAAATTATTCCATTTCATGAACAATTCAACACGTCATAAATATTCCAAAAAAAGTCAAAAGTGTCCGTTCTACCCTACCCTCCCCAAATTCCGATAAAGTTCCAGATTTTTCTCCTAAATGTCGTTCACCCGCAACCGTTGATAAAAAATTTCCTGAGTTCACCTGATTAGTCAGTGCAACGAATATCGCAAGTTGCCACCAGTAGCAAATCCACAGAAACCTCCTCTCGATATCGCTCTCGGGGAGAGTGAGAAAGTCCCACGTTAATTTCGACAACGCTGGTATCGTAACCATAAAGTTGTCCCCATTAGTCTCAATGAAATCGTGTCTCGTTATGCTCGTAGGATCAATATGATGCTCACGAAAAGGCCTCAAGAAGTTCTTGCCGAGTATCGGCAGTTCAATGGAGCCCCAAGTGTCGGCAGCCCAGTGAACGAGTCCCGATATGAAATCAGCGGTTACGATGCCGCACAGTGCTGCTATCAGTATTGAGCTCAGGCTCTCGAGTCTCAGGCGAATTACGATAAAGAAAGAGTTAACAGCCATTAGCGTTATGAAAATTCCAACGCAAATGCACTCTTGGGTTCGTTTTCCTGTTGAGAGAAGAGGGGGAAAATAATGAGTAATTAATGAGGGGATTCATTTACTATCGGGGGAACATTTGCACTCGCACACGGAGAGAAATATTCAATAAAAATGACGTATCTTTTCCGTAATTCCGGAGCGAAATGTGGTTGTAGGAAATTGTAACGGAACTGTCACGAAATTTTTCCAGAGCGTTCCGCAATTTTTATCTGAATCTCCTATGAAAAATTACGATACCGTCACTTAAATTTTCCCAGTGGATTCCGTAATCGGTGAGGGAATTATGAGTTACGCAATTTTTACTGAACATTTCTGTCCGTGCTAATTAGATAACAGGGCTTTTTACAATTATGTGAATAATTGAGATAAGTTTATCGGCATAACTGGGAAATTGTTTTGAGGGAGTGATTTTTTTTCAGCTGGGGGGGACTTATATTCGATCTTTGAGGCGAGGATAACAAATTTGTGGTAAACAAATATGAGAAATGAAGGTTTTTGGAGAATAACAATGACGATTTGATAGAGACTCTGTAATTTCGAACGAAATGTTTTTTAGCGTTTACTTTATGAGAAATATTCTTCAGGTAGGAAGAGATTTGATAGAAAAATGGAAATTTGGGGGGTATTTTAGTGGTATTTTTAGCAAAGCGAGATTGAATTTCGGTTAGGGGAGGAAATTCAGGGAAAATCTAATAATTTTAATTGAATTTTTAAGCAAAACGGGAATTTAGTTGCAGATAACGACTAATTTTCAATTAATTGAACCCAAGTTTACAGTTTCCATTGATTTTTAGATTGAATTATGAACTTTCATTGAGAAAATTCCCTCGAGATTCCGGTGGAACTATGAGTTGATAACAATTTTTAACAAGTTATCAGAAATTTCAGACGAAAAATTTCAACAGTAAAACCCATAATTTCTTAAATTAGTGATTCTAATTAATTGTACTTTTTGAATTTTTCCAGTTAATGTAACTTATGCATTAAAAAAATACAAATAAACGAAAAATTACGATGAATTATTACAAATTACAAACCATGAAATTTCTTCTCACATTTTTCATCGATCTTGAATGAAAATTCAATGGAATCTCTAATTTTTTAGCTCTAACAAAGCGAAAAATTAATCTAGAAATTTAGCAAATTAGCAGTTTCCATCAAATTCCGAGAAAATTTCGATCAAAAAACATTTTGTTCCTTCAAACATCCATTACTTGTATTTTTCCCCTCAATATAATCCACGCCACAACCAAAAATCGAAAAAATGATGAAAAGGAATTAAAAATTCTGTCGTGAATTGGTAAATTAGGATAAATGCATTTTTTTCACAAAAAAATCGCCTTCAAAAATTGTTGGGAAATGATTTAACAAAAAAAAACGCATTAAAAAAATGCACTCCTCCTAATTTACCAATTCTTCTACTACTCCACACATGAAAAAATTCACTAGAAAACCTAGCGAATTCGCTAAAAAATTCTATTGGAATTCTACAGGAATTCTACGGGTTTTCCATAGAATTCCTATTAAAATTCTATTGAAAACTTCTATTTTTTTGCGCTGATTCTATTGGACATTGAATAAGAAAAAGTCAATAGATTTAGAATTTCCGTTAAATTTTTTCTCTCAAATTTTTCTATTAGGATTATTGGGCCCAAAATTTTCTACCTATTCAATCTATTGACTTTTTCTTATTGAACATCCAACAAAATCAGCGCAAAAAATTGAATTTTCCTCAAAATTCCGATAGAAATCCTGCAGAAACCCCACAGAATGCCTACAGAATTCCAATACAATTTTCCGTCGAATTCGCTAGATTTTCTATTGAATTTTTCCCAGGTATCACCTTCCCGTTCCTCCTGACAGAAAAATTCCCCCCACATCCCTGCCTCCAATAACCCCTAATCCTTCCCCTCCAATCCCCCAAATTACAGAGTCCCAACCTATCGTTGTTCCCTCAGCACGCGAGAAAGCTCAAAAAAACGCATTCTCACCAGTGCTATACAAATTAGCGAGCTCCTGCGCCCCCCTGTGATTAGGTCCCCACCTCGGCGTGTCCCTGTCCTCCTCCTTGCCGCCCCTCACCACAGAATTCGCGTTGGGATCATCCTCGAGCATTGAGTTTTCGTAAATCTGTCGTTCAGTCTTAACCGGCGCTAATATTTTGGTGGCCATGGTGCAGGCAGCAGTGGCCGCCTGCTCGATGTGAGGCACTGTCGATGAGGTATGCACGGTCATGATCCCCATTCGCCGAGCCCGGCGACAAAATTTCCCCCAAAAAATCAAAAAACAAAAAATCCTCCAGTCTCACAGTCGCACAATTCCACTCCCGTGCTCTCCCAGCATTTCCGAAACTCCCCGCCAGTCCCGGCGGTGCAAAATCAAGTGAATAAAGAGCTCGCCTTACTTCGGCAGGGGAAATCGTCACGACCGGATCAGACACGAGTGACAACTGAGTGTTCGGTCGATTCTCCTTATTCACAGACACAATTGTTTACATGCCACCGGTCAAATTCCCCGGCACCACATTGTGACAACATCAGATCTCTCAGACCACGTCACGTGTTCGACTGAATTTTGTCACGAACGTCTCGTATTTGCTCTTCTTTTATCACGTAATAGCGTGAGGATCAACATCTCACCGCGAATAATTCTCTTATCTCCGTTAGTCGATGGAGCTGACGGCTTTTTGGGAGATAAATCGTCGTGTGAGCTTTCATTTAGTGGCAAATATGCGTTATTAAAAATGAGAAAACTCCTGCAAGGGAGTTCTTGAACCGCTGAGCGCGGGGTTTTTAGAAATTTTTATCAGCACCATCTGCAGTTGTCGTGGGTCATGCGAATGTCACTTCCATTTGGCATTCGGTTTCACTTTTGAAGAATTGTTTGAGGTGAATAAAATCAACTGAACATTTTCTTTATTTCCACGAATTGAATTCTGGTGATGAGCTTTTCGCTCTTTCCCCTGGCTCGCGTTAAAGGTTTTTCGGTGAACGAAGCGTCATATGAGCTTCAACTCTGAAAGATGCGTAATTGAAATTAAAAACGGTGTCAATTGGTTTTTTAAACTTGTGAATACGAGATTTTTCGCTGTTTTTCCAATCTCATATTTGATTGAGCATCTAGTTTCATCTTCAAAGAATTATTTGACATGGGTAGAGTGTACGAAATTTCCTTTATTTCCAATGACTTGAGCACAAAAAGTCTATTACCTTTTGGTCAAATAATTCTTCATGTGAATTTTAATTGAATAATGTGCACAATTAAAAATGAGAAAAATGTCAAATGGCTTTTTAAACGTCTGAATACGAGTTTGTTATCAATTTTTATCAGCACTATCTGCATCTGTCATGAATCGTACGAATGTCATTTAAATTAAGCATTGAGTTTCACTTTTGAAGAATTGTTTCAGGTGAATAAAATCAACTGAACATTTTCTTTATTTCCACGAATTAAATTCTGGTGATGAGCTTTTCTCTCTTTCCTCTGGCTCACGTTAAAGGTTTTTCGGTGAACGAAGCGTCAGATGAGCTTCAACTCTGAAAGATGTGTAATTGAAATTAAAAACGGTGTCAAGTGGTTTTTTAAACTTGTGAATACGAGATTTTTCGCTGTTTTTCCAATCTCATATTTGATTGAGCATCTAGTTTCATCTTCAAAGAATTATTTGACATGGGTAGAGTGTACGAAATTTCCTTTATTTCCAATGACTTGAGCACAAAAAGTCTATTACCTTTTGGTCAAATAATCCTTCATGTGAATTTTAATTGAATAATATGCACAATTAAAAATGAGAAAACTGTCAAATGGCTTTTTAAACGTCTGAATACGAGTTTGTTATCAATTTTTATCAGCACTATCTGCATCTGTTATCAATAATACGAATGGACACTGGACACTTCTCGTTTCGAGGAATGAAATTCTAGTAATTTCCACGAGTTTAAATACAAAAAATCCATTATCTATTTATCAAATAATTCTTCATGTAAGCTTCAATTGAAAAAATATGCACAATTAAAAATGGGAAAACTGTCAAATGGTTCTTTAAACGTGTGAATACGATATGTTATCAATTTTTATCAGCACTATCTGCATCTGTCATGAATCATACGAATGTCATTTGAATTAAGCATTGAGTTTCACTTTTAAAGAATCGTTTGTGCTGAATAGAGTCCACTTGACATTTTTTTTATTTCCACGAATGAAATTCTCGTGATGACCTTTTCCACTGGCTCACGCATGAGGCTATTTTTTTGGTGAATGAATCGTCAGGTGAGCTTTCATTCTGGAAGATGCGTAATTAAAGATAAAAAACTTTATCAATTTTTTTTTTAATTTTGCAGACGAGATTTTTACCAATGTTCCCAGTCTGATTTAATTAAGCACCCAACGTCATCGTAAACACAGAAAGTCTACCATCTTTTCGTCAAATAATTCTTCACGTGAACTTTAATTTATAAGTTTAATTAATAAATATGCACAATTAAAAATGTGAAAACTAGTAAATGCTCTTTAACTGCCTGAATACCAGATTGTTATCAATTTTTATCGACACTAGCCGCATCCGTCATGAATCATACGAATGTCACATTCAATTAAGCATTGAGTTTCACTTCTGAAGAATCGTTTGAGGTAAATCCAGTTCACTGGACAATTTTCCTCATTTCCACGAACAAAATTCCCCTCATTTCCACTGGATTTTGCGTCGAATAATTCTTCACGTGAGTTTCAATTCCAAAAGATCCACAATTGAAAACAAAAACTCCACAGTGATTTTAATAAAAAAATTAACAAGCATTACGTTTCTAGATTTTTTGTCAAATAATTCGACTTTAAAAAGCGCAATAATTGAAACAAACAAGCCCCCACCGAGTGATTACTAAAATTTCTGAACCCGAGATTTTTATAAACTTTCCCAACGTCACATTCAAATTAACCACTCGATTTTTCTTTCCAAAAATCATTTTTACGAATTACCCGGGGTGAAAACAGTCCCCTGGAAATATTCAACCCAACCCAACGTCATCGTAAACACAGAAAGTCTACCATCTTTTCGTCAAATAATTCTCCACGTGAACTTTAATTAATAAATATGCACAATTAAAAATGTGAAAACTAGTAAATGCTCTTTAACTGCCTGAATACCAGATTGTTATCAATTTTTATCGACACTAGCCGCATCCGTCATGAATCATACGAATGTCACATTCAATTAAGCATTGAGTTTCACTTCTGAAGAATCGTTTGAGGTAAATCCAGTTCACTGGACAATTTTCCTCATTTCCACGAACAAAATTCCCCTCATTTCCACTGGATTTTGCGTCAAATAATTCTTCACGTGAGTTTCAATTCCAAAATATCCACAATTGAAAACAAAAACTCCACAGTGACTTTAATAAAAAAATTAACACGCATTACGTTTCTAGATTTTTTGTCAAATAATTCGACTTTAAAAAGCGCAATAATTGAAACAAACAAGCCCCCACCGAGTGATTACTAAAATTTCTGAACCCGAGATTTTTATAAACTTTCCCAACGTCACATTCAAATTAACCACTCGATTTTTCTTTCCAAAAATCATTTTTACGAATTACCCGGGGTGAAAACAGTCCCCTGGAAATATTCAACCCAACCCAACGTCATCGTAAACACAGAAAGTCTACCATCTTTTCGTCAAATAATTCTCCACGTGAACTTTAATTAATAAATATGCACAATTAAAAATGTGAAAACTAGTAAATGCTCTTTAACTGCCTGAATACCAGATTGTTATCAATTTTTATCGACACTAGCCGCATCCGTCATGAATCATACGAATGTCACATTCAATTAAGCATTGAGTTTCACTTCTGAAGAATCGTTTGAGGTAAATCCAGTTCACTGGACAATTTTCCTCATTTCCACGAACAAAATTCCCCTCATTTCCACTGGATTTTGCGTCGAATAATTCTTCACGTGAGTTTCAATTCCAAAAGATCCACAATTGAAAACAAAAACTCCACAGTGATTTTAATAAAAAAATTAACAAGCATTACGTTTCTAGATTTTTTGTCAAATAATTCGACTTTAAAAAGCGCAATAATTGAAACAAACAAGCCCCCACCGAGTGATTACTAAAATTTCTGAACCCGAGATTTTTATAAACTTTCCCAACGTCACATTCAAATTAACCACTCGATTTTTCTTTCCAAAAATCATTTTTACGAATTACTCAGGGTGAAAACAGTCCCCTGGAAATATTCTTTAGTTCTACGAATGAAGTTCTCAGTGATGAGACAAGCGATGATTCAAACGGCACGCACGCACCTTTTCCACTGGCTCCCACACAGACTCGCCCACACAGACACACTCTCCGTTGGAGCCAGGTCGACGACGTCCTCGTGGACACGCAACCGTAATTACCCGACAAAACTTGTACCACGTCGGGAAGAAAAGGTCTCAAGTCCGAGGGGTACGTCAAAAAAAAATCAAGACCCGAAGTTTAATTTTTACAGAAGCGAGCGATTGAAATCAGGGACCGGCCTCGCCTCTCGATCATTAATTCTGATACTCCTCGGTGTCTCAAACTATTACTCAGTGTCTAACGTACACGGAGGTACAGTGCAGACACCAGTCTATTACCGAGTACACTCCCACCTTGATAGCTCGCCTCGAGAGTCGGCTATTTTTTCCTCGAGTGAATAATATTCCCTCGTGAAGCGTCTTCGATCATCGCCGATCATCCGCGGGTTTTAATTCTATTTATTTTGATTTTTGAATTTATTTTAAATCGAGTAGTTCAACCACGAGGTGGGTAAGACGACCTGCCGAGGGGCCAAGGCACCGCACACTGCCGCATACCAGGCGTTAGGCGAGACAATCCCTCCACTCAACCCCCTGTCAGACGGCTAGTCAGACTGGTGGAACTTGCAATTGGTTTTGTGGCTGTCTAAAAACTCACTCAGTCGCCGTGTGGTGACGACGCCCTGCGTTGCGACGTTCGCAGCGCCTTCTCATGGCGCCTTTTTTCGGTGGCCGCGGTGGTGGCAAGATTTTTAGGGGGCGGGAAGGAGGTTTATGGGGGTTTTAATGCGGGCTCATGGGGTTTAATTGATTTTTTTTAGGGAGAGAAATCACCGGCGGACAGGATTTTTTTTTATTGAAACTCTATTCTATCGTTTTTTTTATTGAAACTCCAATTCTATTTTTTTTTCTTACAATTCTATCGAAAATTGGGGAATTTTTCGATTGCGATTTTTTGAAGAGATTTTTTGTAGACAAAATGATAAGGGTTATGATTTTTTTACAGAAATTGTTGGCGTGAATTTTTGGAGTTTTTTTCGCTGTATTTTAATGTGCTACGGGTAATAAAATCGAAGGAAAAAAATTAGAAGATTTTTGCCTAATAATTTTTATAGATGCAATCGCAACAGAATGAGTTATATCGAAAAATTTAGAATTTTTTCTATAAAAAAATATCAAATTGATTTTTTTCATACAAATTCTTTGAAAAAGCTCAATTTTCTCATTTTTCTTTTGCATTTTGTCATATTCTCACTAGAATTAATTTCATTCATTCCTTCCTTGATTCATAACAGTATAATTATTATTTTAATTCAACCTAATGCGAAAAAAATCGTCTCCATTTCGCACCCCTTCGCCTACTGACTTTTTATTCGTTTCTGATACAAAAATCAAAGAAAAATAATTGGCAAATTCATGCCCAATAATTCTTGTGGTAAAATTTCCAACAGAATGATATGTAAAAAAAATCAAGAATTTTTTCTATAAAAGAAATATCAAATTCATGTTTTGAATAGAATTTCTTTGGAAAAGCTCACGATTTCCCATTGCATTTTGTCATATTCCCACTGCAATTAATTTCATTCATTCCTCTCTTGATTCACAACACTAATTATCATTTTAATTCAGTCTGATGAGAAAAAAATCGGTTCTACGTCGCGCCCCTCGCCTCCTGAATCATTAAATTAGCGTTTGAAGTAGCCGTCGCCTCTCACCTGATAGCAATTGATTAGTATCAGGCCAATTGGCCTCAACAGGTTCCCCACAGACTGAATATGATTAGCAACGAGTATCATGCAACCCGACACACGCTGTAGATAAACTCATTGTTAATGTCATGAATTGTTAAAGTCCATTGAACTTGTTGGTTTATCTACTCGCAACCGGTTCTCGCCGGTTCGAATTCAACATTGAAGGACAAGCGACGAGCGGCAGTGACCGCAGCTCCAACGAAATTCACTGGTTGTTAGACACAAGGAACTTGATGATCATCTCATAATTGATGAGGGAGGATTGATTTCACTTGACATTGACTCCCATCGATCCGGTGAATTATTCATTCGGGAAATGTCGCACCAGGAATTTTCCGGAGTTCGACGCAATGTCAAAAGTCGAAAGTATTGAAATAACTGTTTATTTAGTCGAGATGTGGAGAGAGAATTTTATTAAAAATTATTCCTTAAATCTAGTAGTAAATTCATGAATGTGAATAGTATTTTTTTTCGTTACTTATCTTATTTATTTCTTTATTTATCTCTGTACATACACTGAGAGAACAACAAATTTAACAGCGCATAACAAAATTCAACAGAAATTCCATTTCAATTTCTATTAAAATTCTATGAGCATTCCACTTCAATTCTGTTGGATAATTTTATTACAACTCTAATAATATTCAATAGGTTTTAATATTTAAAAAAAGAAGAAATAAAAAGAATTTTTTTTATTATCAAATACAATTATTATTATTATTTTTATTTTTTTTATTTTTTTTTATTTATTTTTTCATTAATAAATTTAATAATGGATTGAACATGCTCAAACCTATTTGTACAAAAGTATAAGACAGTTGAATATGCATAATACACACGGCACTTAATACTGAATCCCATTAAATTTCCGGCCCCATGGGAATCCATCGAAGGTTCATAAATGATTACCCTCGTTCGTTCCAGTACCCTAGAGCCACCGTTACCCAACTATTCTTCCGGTTCTAGGGAGTCATAAAATATTGGGGAATCGATCGTGTCCCCACGTTGAAGACCAGCCATCATTTCGATGTACGTAACCGAGTGATAAATCGGCACTATTTGTCTCGACGTCCGCGGATTGTTTATCACTGTCCTGTTCTGCCTCATTCTGTTCTCTTTTTTCCACATAGAGAGACATTTCCGGCTTTACGTTCTTGCAATGGTGTGTGGCGTACTGGGTCAGCGGAATTTTCACCAAAATTGTAGTGGAACAGGCAATAGGTCAGTGCATGCAAAGGAAAATATTATAATTTTCAGCGGAGTTATTGTACTAGCCACGAAGAAATTCAATAGAAAAACCCAAACTTTCTGTGAAAATTCTGGGTTTCTCGTTAATTCTGTATAAATGAGATATTTTTAGTAGAAAAAGGTTTATAGACAGTGATTTTTTTATATTACATTACATAAAGCATGAATTTTCAATTTTTTTCTCGGATTTTGTTGCGAAAAAGAATTTTAAAAACAGCAGAAAAAACTTGGAAAATTTATGCCCAAGAATTCCCACTGAAAAATCAAAATCCATTGCCTTTTTCCTCTCTAACCATTTGCACCATAAAATTCATTTGTAAAAAATCCCCACCCACAGGGACAACGCATCGTCTATTTTGAGCGAGTGCATCATATTGTTCCCCGACTTGAGCCATTGTCCCTCCCACAAACCCCCATATCTGAACAATTTTCCTTCATTATGAAAATTCTGGTTTTCTCGTTAATTCTGTAAAAAATGAGATATTTTTAGTAGAAAAAGGTTTATAGACAGTGATTTTTTTATATTACATTACATAAAGCATGAATTTTCAATTTTTTTCTCGGATTTTGTTGCGAAAAAGAATTTTAAAAACAGCAGAAAAAACTTGGAAAATTTATGCCCAAGAATTCCCACTGAAAAATCAAAATCCATTGCCTTTTTCCTCTCTAACCATTTGCACCATAAAATTCATTTGTAAAAAATCCCCACCCACAGGGACAACGCATCGTCTATTTTGAGCGAGTGCATCATATTGTTCCCCGACTTGAGCCATTGTCCCTCCCACAAACCCCCATATCTGAACAATTTTCCTTCATTATGAAAATTCTGGTTTTCTCGTTAATTCTGTAAAAAATGAGATATTTTTAGTAGAAAAAGGTTTATAGACAGTGATTTTTTTATATTACATTACATAAAGCATGAATTTTCAATTTTTTTCTCGGATTTTGTTGCGAAAAAGAATTTTAAAAACAGCAGAAAAAACTTGGAAAATTTATGCCCAAGAATTCCCACTGAAAAATCAAAATCCATTGCCTTTTTCCTCTCTAACCATTTGCACCATAAAATTCATTTGTAAAAAATCCCCACCCACAGGGACAACGCATCGTCTATTTTGAGCGAGTGCATCATATTGTTCCCAGACTTGAGCCATTGTCCCTCCCACAAACCCCCATATCTAAACAATTTTCCATCATTGTGAAAATTCTGGTTTTCTCGTTAATTCTGCAATAAATGAGATATTTTTATATTACATTACATAAAGCATGAATTTTCAATTTTTTTCTCGGATTTTATTGCGAAAAAGAATTTTAAAAACAGCAGAAAAAACTTGGAAAATTTATGCCCAAGAATTCCCACTGAAAAATCAAAATCCATTGCCTTTTTCCTCTCTAACCATTTGCACCATAAAATTCATTTGTAAAAAATCCCCACCCACAGGGACAACGCATCGTCTATTTTGAGCGAGTGCATCATATTGTTCCCAGACTTGAGCCATTGTCCCTCCCACAAACCCCCATATCTGAACAATTTTCCTTCATTATGAAAATTCTGGTTTTCTCGTTAATTCTGTAAAAAATGAGATATTTTTAGTAGAAAAAGGTTTATAGACAGTGATTTTTTTATATTACATTACATAAAGCATGAATTTTCAATTTTTTTCTCGGATTTTGTTGCGAAAAAGAATTTTAAAAACAGCAGAAAAAACTTGGAAAATTTATGCCCAAGAATTCCCACTGAAAAATCAAAATCCATTGCCTTTTTCCTCTCTAACCATTTGCACCATAAAATTCATTTGTAAAAAATCCCCACCCACAGGGACAACGCATCGTCTATTTTGAGCGAGTGCATCATATTGTTCCCAGACTTGAGCCATTGTCTCTCCCACAAACCCCCATATCTGAACAATTTTCCTTCATTGCGCGTTAATTCCTCCTCTCGGCACTGAAATGCCGCATAGACACTGCTAATTCCATCGGCAATCTCGCCTACATAATTAACTCTGTTATCACTCAACAGTCCATTGTCCCAAACATCTGAAGACAAAATACGTAACTGGCTTTTGCTGAATCGATTCTCCTTCTGTTTTTACGTCTATCGATCCCGGGTCAGAGTCAAAAGACACGTAGACGCCGTTCCCCCGGGGTCAAACTTCACCCGCTACTTCGCGTAGTGCATAGGGCATGCATTAACAAGTCGCAACGGAGTTTTTTATGAGTCCAACATGTGCAGCCGTGATCCCTACACGGAAATTTTGTTTGGCATTTTTTAAATTTACGTAACGAATAGATTTAAATTTTCGATGTTTCACGTTTTATTTCAATTTCAAGATTGAATCTGATTAAATCAAATTAAAATGATGAATTAAGTTGAATTAAATTCTTCGTAGAATTATTGATTCGTCTTGAAAATGCGATAGAATTGATTTTTTAATGATGATTTTCAAATTCGTTGGGAAATTAAAAAATAAACATTATATTTAATTAAATTTCCAAGGGATTGAGGATTCTGAAAAATAATTTTTAAATCTCTTTAAATAAACACTGTTTGGCATTTTTTTTAATTAAGTAACGAATAGATTTAAATTTTTGATATTTCAAATTTAATTTCAATTTCAAGATTAAATGTAATTAAATAAAATTAAAATGATGAATTAATTTGAATTAAATTGTTTATAGAATTACTGATTCATCTTGAAAATTCACCAAAACTGAATTTTTTATAAAAAATTCTTATTTTATAATTAATAATAATAATAATAATAATAATAATAATACAATTTTATTTAAAATTTTAAAATACATAAATGTTTTATATAATATAAAATAAAAATAAAATATTATATACAATAGATTCATGAAAGGATTACCAAATTCATTGTTCAAACTAAGATCGCATTAATATTCAAGAAATTAACAGATATCTCAATTAATAAATTTTTCATTGTTAAAAGATAACAAGATTTTTCACTTGCACTTGCATTTGCAATCTTCTAACAGTGTAAGAACAAATATATTTTCCACTAGTATTTATAACTTTAGAATTAAGCAGTCATCCGCGTGCTCAGCAGACGAGTTAAAATAAACTTTCATTCATTTGGATGCTCTCACTGGGACGCCGTTACAATCAGGGGATTTAATTAAATGGGGTCTGTTGATGGCTGGAAACGACCTAGATATCGATCCGCATGACCTTATGGAATTTGAGGAATTGAATTTCCTGATGTGGGATTTATATTTAACAAGGGATGCCCTTCGATAGTGGAGTCATCAGTGATAATTCAATTTTATTTCAGAAGGCGAGTGGATAAGACGATCGAAACGTTTTTATTAATTAGGCTATTATCTTGGAAGCGAAGGGTTTTAGGGGAAAATGTGAAAAGGGCTTTTTTATAGCTGAGGAAATTTCCCATGAAAAAGATTTAATGATCGTTTCTCCTAAACGACCCCTTCTTGACGTAATTTAAGAACTAAAAAAATTGAATGTAAATTTTTTGTTTTGCCAGTTTAATCCAGATTTTTCTTTTAATTTATTGGAAATTAACGATTAATTCAATTTCAATTAACGATTAATTTCATTTTAATTAGGAATTAAGTCAATAATTAATTATTTTTATGGCATGCAACTTCAATGAAAATTTTCAATTCAGTTCTTCGTGGAATATTTAGAGATTCACTGGACTCGGATTGTTTTTCACGTTCTTCAACTCCAGGGGCATTATTAGTGAAGATTATGAAAGAGAGCGTGGTATCATTGTCGTGGAATGCATGTTTTTCTTCTTGTTTTAGCACTATTATCGTTTTGACGAAGTCGCACAGACATCCTTTGACTTTAACCAGCAATTTCCTCTGATAAAACGTAAATGCTCGTCATTTCTGACGTAAGACGACAACATTCTTCATAAAAAAAAGGGTGGAGGTGGTTCTTCGAACGTTAAGTGAGGAGATGAGGTGAATTGAACCTTAATATTCAACAGAAGAAAGTCAACAGTCCTGAGTAGGGGAGAGTGGGGTAAAATGGACACTTTAGACTTTTGTTTCAACTACTCATAACTCAGCAACAAATTCATCAATTGAGCTCGGTTTAGGCTCATTACAAAGGGAAAGAATTATTCTTCGCAATGAGAAGAAAAATATGACATTTTATCAACATTTCAACCCGTCATTAACATTTAAAAAAAAGTCAAAAGTGTCCATTTTACCCCAACCTCCCCTATAAATTTTCCAATTTCTTTCCATTGTATTTTCGTTTCTTCCTCATGACGAAATAAAAAAAAATTAATACCCCAGAATTCCAATGGAAAAAATTATATAGAAAATAAATCAACATCAACAATGCTTTATAGTTCTTATTAACAAATCTGAAGAGAATAATTTAGAGAATAATTGTATAATTTTTGTCGAATTCGTTAGAAAATTCTATTGAACTCTTCTACTAGGTTTTGGCCGATTCGATTGAAGTGTTCAATAGAAAATATTCAGTAGAAAAAGTCAAAAGAATTCAATTTTTCTATATAACTTATTCTTTTCATATTTTTTCTATAGAATTTCCTCGGCTCAAAGTTTCCAAGTTTTTTCGTTTGATTTTCTTGATGAGAAGAAAAGAAAAATAGAATGAAAAAAACAGAAAATTTGAGTCGAGCAAATTCCATAGAAAAAATATGAAAAGAATAAGTTGTATAGAAAAATCGAATTCTGTTAACTTTTTCTATTGAATTTTTTCTGTTGAACATGTCGATAGAATCAGCCAAAAACTAACAGAAAGTTTAATAGAAATTCAATAGAATTTTCTAACGAATTCGATAGGTTTTTCTATTAAATTTTTTCGTGCGTGGTTCGAAGAAGAACAATGATTTATTGATGAAGTGATTGAATCAGCAGAGAATCGAGGGATAATTTTAACTAGATTATCTAATTTTCATAGTAACGATACACGTGAGACGATGGCGAGGTGACAAGTGCCCACTGAATATTTCAATCGGCAATAAAATTAATGTACCACGTGGTCTTCGCCACACAACAGTCCCCCCACCGCCGGCGACAAATTACGTCCCTTTTGCCAGCGTTCGCGACTGTTGGCAAACAGTTTTTAATTATTTACTCTGTGTTTGCGCTTGGAATGGACATAATTGGCGACTAACATCTATTTACGAACGCCCAAGGTTTGTCATTCAATTTTTATCGACTGATTGGTACTGATAATCCTTAATGAGTTTGTGGTATTTTCGGTTTGTTTACTCTCTATCGTTTCGGAGCAGAATGTTTTTCGCAGTATTTGGAGTGAGGTGAGAGGGTCTGACGATGCATTTTTTATCCAGGAACATGCGATTGTCGGTTTTTAACGAGAATGATAAAGTACTGCTGTTGGGCGAGGGGAATTTCTCATTCTCCACGAGTTTACGTGAACATAACCTGAAAATTCGTATTACCTCGACTTGTTATGAGTCTTCAGCTATCAGTGAAGAGGCTGAAGGAAATATCAAGTATCTAGAGACTCATGGTTCGTATTAATTGATCAAAACCGAGAATTGAGGAGGGAATTCAAATTGAGTAGCAGAATTTCACTGGAAAAAACTGCGCTGAGAGAAAAAAAAATTTCTCAAACGGAGAGCACGTAAAAATTTAATAGTAGAGTAGTTATGCCGATAAATAAATAAATGAATAGGGGAGAGTGGGGCAAAATGAAACAGCAAAAAAATGACTATTGAACGTAATTCAAGCAAAAAAAATTTTTTTTCTCAACTTTTTGTATTAGGGGAGGCTGGGGTAAAACGGACACTTTTGACTTTTTTTAAAATGTTAATGAAAGGTTGAAATGTTGATAAAATTTGATAATTTTTTTTTTCGATACAAAGAACAATTCTTTCGCTTTGTGATGAGCCTAAACTGAGCTCAATTGATCAATTTGTTTCTGAGTTATGAATAATTTTTAAAAAGTCTAAAGTATCCATTTTACCCCACCCTTCCCCACTCATGAGAATAACAATGTTCTATTCGTCTTATAATTCAATTAATTAACATTCAATTGATTAGATTAGGCTGATTACACTTTTCATTCTTCATTCGATTGAAATTCAACATTACATTTTCTTTTTTTCCCCGCTATGTCCACTGAATTGAAAATTATTATTCTCATCAGTACTCCCAAGAATAAAAAAAATTAATAAACAAAAGTTGATAAAAAAAATGTAACAAAACATTTGAGTAGTGAAGCGGTAAACCGAGATAAGTCGATTTTGACTATTAGCCAGTTTTTGCTGAATATCTCGGAATCTAAGAGAGATAGCAAAATTTTTCTCATGACTTTTTTTATAACGCTCTATTGGCTCTACAAAAAAGGTCATGACAAAAATATTTCTATCTCTTTTAGATTCCGAGATATTCGTCAAAAACTAGCCAATAGTAAAAATCGAGTTAACCCGGTTTACCGCTTCGCTACTGATTTTTTTTTGCTTGAATTGCGTCAAATTGTCGTTTTTCGGCTGTTTCAATAGCTTTTTCTCTCCGTGCACTTGAAAAACTGATAATTCTCTTGATTCTAGGGGTGTCCGTTCTACTCGGAGTAGACGCGACACAATTATCGGCCCACGTAGCCCTGAAATCCCAGAAATTCGATAAAATAGTCTTCAATTTTCCCCATTGCTGTAGTAAAATGCGACTAGACAAGAATCGAAACTTGTTGAGAGACTTTTTCGTGTCCTCTGGAGGCCTCTTAGAGTCTAATGGGCAAATCCTGGTGACTCTGTGTAACGGCCAGGGTGGCACGTTGAGGGATGCCCCCAGGAGGCGGTGGGACGACTCCTGGAAGGTCAGGGAAATGGCCGCACATGGAGATCTCGTCCTCACGTCAGTCGAGAATTTCCTTATCGATCTGTTCGAGGGCTACAAAGTCACAGGGTACCGAGGGCTAGACAAGAAATTTCATATGAATGAAGCCCTCACTCATGTCTTTGCAAAAGTATCGCCTCCTGTTCCCTCTGATTTCATCCCCTATTCCCTTTTGGATGAAGTGTTGACAGTAAAAAAATTACAGAATTCAAAAATAATTAAATGGAGTGAAGTGACTGGCGGTGGAGAAGCAAATGCTGAGGAGTTGACCCCTCCGTTTTTTGCTTTTGACGTAACATTCGCAGTTCCCGAAAATTTCGATGAGATTTTTTTTTATGTTGTTTTGCACAACTCTGCCGGACGAATTATTAAAAATGTTGAATTTATCGGATTCTACGAATTTCCCGAGTCGAATAAAATAACTAGGAGTTATAGACTAGTTTATCATTCTGACGAGCTGCCACTGTACAGAGACAGAGTCGTGGAAATTCACAGAAATTTTATTTCGATTTTGTTGGAGGAAAAACTTGGCGTTGTTGTCTCTAGGTAGTTAAATAAATTGCGGAAGTTACGCGGTTTTTAATACTGAGGGCTTGCGGGATTTAATACTGAGGATTTATCCCTTCCGTTTTTTGCATTCAATTTATTTAGAATTTATTTATTTAGAATTTATTTAGAATTCCCGAAAATTTGGATGTCAAATTAATTTTTATACAAATCTGCAGAACGAATTATCAAAAATGTTAAATTCATAAAATTTTATTTATCCCTTTCGCTGTTTGCATTCACTGTAATTAATTATTAGAAATGTTGAATTTATCGGATTCTACGAATTTCCGGAGTCGAATAAAATAATTAGGACTTGTAGACTAGTTTATCATTCTAACGAGCTGCCACTGTACAGAGACAGAGTCGTGAAAATTCACAGAAATTTCATTTCGATTTTGTTGGAGGAAAAACTTGGCGTTGTTGTCTCTAGATAGTTAAATAAATTGTGGCAGTTACGCGGTTTTTAATACTGAGGGCTTGCGGGATTTAATACTGAGGATTTATCCCTTCCGTTTTTTGCATTCAATTTATTTAGAATTTATTTAGAATTCCCGAAAATTCGGATGTCAAATTATTTTTTATACAGTTTTATACAACTCTGCAGAACGAATTATCAAAAATGTTAAATTCATAAAATTTTATCTATTGCTTTCGTTGTTTGCATTCACTGTAATTAATTATTAAAATTGTGGAATTTATCGGATTCTACGAATTTCTGCGAGAATAATTAGGACTTGTAGACTAGTTTACCATTCTGACGAGCTGCCACTGTACAGAGACAGAGTCGTGGAATTTCACAGAAATTTTATTTCGATTTTGTTGGAGGAAAAACTTGGCGTTGTTGTCTCTAGGTAGTGGAATAAATTGTGGAAGTTACGCGGTTTTAGGGGATTTAATACTGAGGATTTATCGCTTTCGTTTTTTGCATTCAATGTAACATTTAGAATTCCCGAAAATCATTTTCCTTTTTTTTAAGAGAAAAACCTAGAACAAAAACAACAAATTCGGCGATTTTTATTTAATGGTACTTGATAATGTGAAGAAATATCAAGGAAAATCAAATCCCAGGAATAATTACGATGGAAACTATTTCCTTTAAATTCAAATAAATAAAATGAAATGATAATGAAATAATAAAACAAATTGGTAAACACAATATTATTTTTCATTCTGTTGAAATGAGATACAAAATATCTATTCCATTTCAACTTCCGAAAGACAAATAAATCAACACTATTTGATAAACCAAAATAGTCAACTTGAAATACAGAATTAAATACTGAAGATTTGTGCCCTCAATTTTTCCGCATTTGACATACCATTTGCAATTTCCAAAAATCGCAATAAAATTGACTTTTAGACAGCCCTGTCCAACTCTTGAGGACTCCCTATCGAAAATATTAATGGAATAAAATATTCATGGAATAAAATAACTGAGACTTGTAAAAATATAAATGTTACTTCGACTTTATTTGAGAAGAACTCGATGTAATCTTCTCTAGATAGTGAAATAAATTTTTGTTGCGAAGAAATCTACTGTTTTCTGTTATTCGAAAATGTTTGAAACACCTCCTCCGTCGTTTGTGTTGCAGATGCAGGCACTCCAGAGGTTGTCGTCCCTCACAATACGACACTCGATACGAAAGCAGAAGACAGTGGAGTTATGCAAAACATTGAGTGGTATTGAACTGAATCTGAGCAGACACAGTCCCCGTAAGTCATTCCATTGTGCCAGTTGTTTTCGGAATGATGAGTCAGTGGCACTTCCGCTGCGAAGCCGAAAGCCAAAATCTACTAGGGATACACTTCAATATTTTGTGGATGTCAAACAGGTGAATAAGCCGGAGGACATTAATTAAGATGTGAATGAGAGAGTTTTCACAATTAAAAAATGATTTTTATTGCTAGTTAAACCTTCAATGTTTTTAGCTGGATCTTGAGGGCAGACATAGCCATATTCATAAATCATAATTACCGTTAAATTTTGAAGCCGTCAATTAGTTAACATCACTCTTAAACTTTTAATTATTCAAGTAATCATCAATTTAAGGCCCGTGTGAATTATCTATCGAACGTGATCTTGATTGTTTTTTTTATTTAGATAATTTAAAATGATCTCCAATTTCTATTCAGTTTCACATAGCCCTGGAGTCTCCGAAAATGATGATTGTACAATCAAAAAACCGTTGAAAAAAGCTGAACATTTTCAAAGAGCGTTTTTGAATAATATTGGGAAATAAACCCAATAGGGAGGAAATTGCAAATTAATAATTTGATGTATCTAATGGCTGTTCGGTCGTCATTCGTCACAGCAGTCAATGGCTGTCAGATCGTTAGATACCGTGATAAATTTATCATTGGTAAACACAATTGACGCACAAATATTCTTATAGAAAACATCTCAAGAGAAAAATTCAAACAGAAATTCGAAATCTCTAGACAGTGAAATAAATTTAATAAAATAAAAAATAAAATATTTAATAAAATATTTAATATTTAATATTTAATAAAATTTAATATTTAATAAAATTATTTTGCAATGATAAATTTATCATGGTAATTATCCATTCACTATTTTCTCTCTATCGGACTCATTTCTTAATCTTTACTAAAAACTCTCTTTGAAAATGTTCAGTATTTTTTTCTACTTTTTTAATTGTACAATCATAATTTTTAGGGACCCCTGCGTAATGTAGAATTCAATGGAAATTGGGATATATTTTACATTGTGAAAATGGAAAAACAATCGAGATAACGTTCGGAAGATGATCCACCCGAGCCTTAAATTTTTAATTATATCCCCAGTCTGTGAGTTCCCCTATGAATCCGATGATTTCCTCCTCGTAGGTGAGAGTATCCGGGGGAAAAGGGGGAGACGGTGCTGTAAGTTTCCTCCAAGCGTGGGCGAACGAGCACGGTGGACCCGACGGAGGGGACGGTGGACACGGAGGTCACGTAATCTTCCAGGTAATTGAGCTCCACGTATGAAAAAATTCAACAGAAAACCTATCGAATTCGCTAGAAAATTTTATTGGCATTCTATAGGAATTCTATGGGGTTTCTATAGGATTCTATTGGACATTCGATAAGAAAAAGTCAATAGATTTCGAATTTCTGTTTGAATTTTTCTCTTGAGATGTTTTCTATAAGAATATTTGTGCATCAATTTTCCAAGTTTTTTCCACTCGGATTCTGCAATGCAAAACAAAACAAAATCCAGCGGGAAAAACTTGGAAAATTTGTGCCCAATAATAATAATAGTAATTCTAATAGAAAAAATCTAAGAGAAAAATTAAAACAGAAATTTGAAATCTATTGACTTTTTTTATTGAATATCCAATAGAATCAGCGGAAAAAGCAAATAGAATTTTTCAATAGAATTTCAATAGAATTTTCTAACGAATTCGTTAGGTTTTCTATAGAATTTTTTCATTCATGTCCACCCCTCTTAATAACCCAATTAAAAAAAAAATTAATCGATCGCTTGATACCCAGCATTCCGTTGATCCAGGTCTCGAGGGACGTCACTAGTTTGAACCACCTGAAACCCGTTATCGACGCGGAAGAGGGCGAGAAGGGGTACAATAAAGACTGTCATGGCAAGAATGCACAGCACACTGTTGTCAAAGTGCCCGTTGGCACTATTGTCAGAAGTACAGATGGCAATATTCTGGCTGACCTGGAGGAGGAGGGGATGATGTTTATCGGTGCTCGAGGGGGTGCTGGGGGCCATGGGAATGCCTTCTTCGCGTCCGATGTCCAGCAGGCACCCAGAATCGCTGAGTTTGGGGCTAAGGGGGAGAACACACAGTATGTGCTTGAAGTTAGATCCATGGCACATGTTGGATTGGTAAAAAATCATTTTTTTTTAATCGTAAAATGTCAACACAACAGATTTTCCATGCGTTATTTTGACATTTTACGATTAAAAAATATGATTGTATGATATGATGATGAAAAATATGACGATATAATATAATTTTATCGTAAAATGACAGAATAACAGATTCATCATGTGTTATTCTGACATTTGAATGCATAATAAACAAATTTTCAATTTCAGAATTGTTACTTCTGTTCTAAAAGGAAATTTTTCACGAATGAAAAAATTTTAGGCAGTGACTATTCGCACCATTGCGTGAATCACTCCCGTACACTCCATACACTCCACGCATGCGTGAAGTTTGTGTGTTTCACGCAGCCGAATTTTCATACTGCTGTGTATTTCACGCAGTTGAAGTTTCATACTACTGTGTGTTTCACGCAGTTGTATTTTTATACACCAGTGTGTTACACGCAGTTGCATTTTGATACCCCTCTGTGTTTCACGCAGTTGTATTTGTATACATCTGTGTGTTTCACGCAGTTGCATTTTTATACACCAGTGTGTTACACGCAGTTGCATTTTGATACCCCTCTGTGTTTCACGCAGTTGAAGTTTTCCTATACTTTTCGGCACTAGCCTATAGGCAAGTGCACGACTCAGAATTGCGTTTTTCCACTT